TTTTAAGTAAGGATCAATCTCGTTTCATGACTGCATTTCTTGTTCTGAAGCACATGTATATAATTTGTATAGTATCTAACCATACCAGAGAAGCATAGTAAAATCTCACCTAACATTTTGTTACAAATAATTGTCTTCTGTTGTAACCCCTTTGTCTCTAACTATGCCGTTCTCATTTCTGTCTACTAATGGAATATCCAAGGTAAGTAGACTAATGATACCAATTCCTGGGAGCAAAAATTGTAGCAGCAAATACTGAGTTTCAAGAAGAAGACAAAGACAAAAACAGAGACAATAATAATGGCAGCTGTAAGAAAGAGGAGACAGTTTGTGGCTTAGCTATATACTCATCTCAGAAACTGTTGGAAACAGTAATAAGTATTCTAAGGATAGCAATGGAATACAGATTAATAAAAAGAATGATTAAAGAAAGTAATTATTTTCAATAATAATAATAATAATAATTAATAACTGTATCAAGATGAAAGAGATTCTTAAAAAGCTGGAACAAGGAGCAGAAGCCAGAAAGAATTGCAAACTTCTGTTTTGGTTTGGAAGAAAAATAATAATGGTAAAGGACCAAACTTGGCAGATGTACATGTGAAAAGGATCTGAGCCTCTTGATGGATCCCAAGCTAAACATTAGCCTGCAGCATTATGCAGCTATGAAAAAAGTACATGCAAATGCATCAGTAGAAATACAGTGTTTTTCTCTATTTTGCATTAGTCAGACAGCATCTGGAATATTGTGTCCAGATCTGGGTGTCACATTTTAGGAAAGACACTGACAAACTGTGGCATGTCCAGAAGAGAGCAACTAAAATAATAAGGGGGCTGGAAGGAAAAAATTACAGGCAATGGTTAGAGGCACTGGGTATGTTAAGCCTGGAGAAAAGACTATGGAAAGCTGTGTTAGCTGTATCTAAAGGGCTGTCATGTAGAAGACAGAACATAATTGTCTGGAGCAGTTCCAGAAAATAGCTCAAGGAGCAATGGGCTTACGTCACAAGGGTAACAGGAAAAAAATCTTGATAAGAATGGAACAGACTGTCTTGGGAGATAGTAGAATTTTTTTTGCTGGAAATGTTTAAACAGAGACTGATGGTCATCTGCTAGAGATCCTGTAGTAGTGGATTTTTACACTGGGTAGGGGATTTGACTAGAATAATCTTCCAATCCTTCCATTCCATGATTCTTTACTGTTAACTGTCAACATTGCCCTCTTTTAATAATTGATGGGCAAGTTCAGGACCTCTGTTGTCCCTTCAGATTGAGGGCACCTTCAAGTAAAGGACTGAATACTGATAGTTTTCAGGTGGAATACACATCAACTGAGGAATGGATTAGCCTAGGAAAGCAATCATGGAATATGAACTTTTGTGTACAGCTCTCGTTCAATGTGCCTGGAGAGGTACAGTGCCCTCTCCTGTGTGCCTGGAGCATTGGGGCTGATGTGCCAGATCTATTCTCATACTAGCAGACCCCAGAGTTTTCATTGCTGCACAGTTGTGACTTTGGCCTGTTAACTTTTCCCTCTTGTGCAGACATAGAACTCCAATAATAATAAAACTATTTGCCATCTATTTTGTCTTCATCTTTATTTACAACTGGGCTTTGGTTTTTTTATTTACAACATTCTTTTGGTGCTCCTTCAGTTCATTCATGTATGTCTATCAAATTGTTTATCAGATTTGTTTTTAATTTATAATTTCCACAAAAACTACTATCAGTTATCTCAAAATGTTCTTTTGTCCCACTTAGCTCTGATGGTTGCTTCGGATTTTAAGTGTCTATTTTGTGTTTGCCTTCAGTCATGACTTATTTCTCCTTGACAGACACTCATTTTGTATATGAATTTTCCCACCACAATTGAAATTTCCAGATATATCACTTGCAATTTATCTATTATTCTGCACAAGTTTTCCCAATTGTACAGACTTGCTGACTGGTACTGTGGTTGGCAATATCCAAATGTTCATTTACAACAGGGCATCTTTTACATGTAATTTGTTAATAATGGTTTTTGGTTTTTAAGATTAACTAGAATTTTGTTCATATGATACAGAGAAGGGTATCTACATAGAGAATAGAAGGTGGGGGGAAGAATCTCCAAAACAATCTTGTCCAGGTGATTAAAGGAGAGAGAGAGACAGATTAACTTATATAACTTAATTACTGAAGCAACTTTTCAGTCATTTGCTGAGATACCACTGCCTAAAAATCCCCACCATATAACAGATGGCATTCCAGCAGGATACAACTATATATGAGCAAAGAGATGGTATATGAGTAATTATGGCATTTAGAGATGATATGCATACATGCATAATTGGAATGCAATGCTTCATACTCACTATTTCATCTATTGAAAACCTTGCCAGGTATCACACTGGAGATTTTCTCCTATTATTCTAATTAGTTGCTTTCTTGTCTTATGAGATTTTTTAGAATGGAGAAGGGAATAGATGAGGTGGGTGAATCCCTGGGATGGGCTCCAGGGGCTGATGAAACAAATAGCTTGCCATAAACCTACTTATAAAGATTAAAATACCATTCCAAAAAGATACTAGATGGTCACATGACCACATCACATGGGTCAATGAACCCACCATTTTTTTACACCTCCAACAAAGAAAATCTGATGTCCATCTTTTCAATAAGGACACCTCATTCAGATCTCCAGCAAAACAAAGTATCCTCCAAGATCTGCCCAGCCTTAGTAACTACTGTTATAGAGGAATTGAACACAGATACCTCTTCTCTTCGCTTCGCTTTACTTCTTACATAATCAATTCCCCACCTCAGCATTATGATGTGAATCACATATGTTAACCTGCCAATGCCATGACCAGTATTGTTTCCAATTTATTGAAACTGACTTGTAGAATTCATTACTGTATGCATTAGATCCTTTCAGACAACCAAGAGCCATTTATTTTCTGAACTCATTGATGATATCTGAGGGGAATATTAGAAAATCTCCAGACTGCAATTAAGTACTGGCAATTTTAAGTGACTTCTAGTAATCATTATAAAATTATCCAATGCAGGATACAGTTAAAAAAAAAAAGGGTATGCAGCTTGTTGGTTGGGGTGGGAACTTGATGGACTTGTAATCTGAGCCATTGTGACTCTTCTTGTCTTCTTAGAGTGGACAGTACTAATCCAGCTAGACTAACGAAAAGCAGCTTCCTACAACTGCAAGTCTAATTATCTGGGATCTCTTTGGCCTGTGATCAGCATCTTTCCCCCTAACAAGGAATTTTAAGTTGCAGGAAATAGTGCCTCTGACATTTGTTCCTCTGCCTCCCCCAACACCCTTTTTTATGAAGTTGACAAGGCTGTTCTGCAGCACAGAGGATAGCAAAATGCCTTATTTTCTTCACTTCACTTGCTAAATTATTCCCAGTGTGTTAAACAATGTAATTAAGCACACGTGCTCACATGATAAAAGTTCTTTCTGTTCTTCATCAAAAGGGAGTGAAAAGAAAGATTGGGCATGTGTCAGCCCAGCCTTCAAGCTCTGTTAGTTTTAATTTGGGCTGTGGAATTAGTCATCAGTTTTGCTGGGACTGTATTATAAGAAATAGATCTTTGCATGCAGTGGCTTGAGCACTGTTGCAAATGAGTATTTGTTAAGGGGAAACCATTCTCTTGTCGTGTTATGCTACATTACGTAAGATTTATTTCCATTGTAGTAGAAATGGAACCTGGAAAAGAATGTTAATTCTTGATGTCAATGGAAGCTTATTTTTGAATGTCATCCAATTTCTTCTTTAAAAAGGAGCAGCTTTCCTTATTTAAAGTAATGTAGAAATTAATTAATTAATTAATTAACAGAAAATATACCTTCTTGGCAGAGAGTTTATAGCTGTTCTATCCCCAAGTGCAAGATGCAAAATCAATCTGCGAAGAATCCAGCTCTAAATGAATTGCTTGAGGTCTGCAGCCATCCAGTTCATGGGATGAGGGCTTAAAGAAGTCTGAACTATGGGGAGGCTTTGAAGTTGGTGTGAATGCTCAGCTATATAAAGCAATCTAATATAGAGTCATTATTTTAGTCAGGTTCATAATTCATTTTCATCAGATCAGATGCTGCCCAGTGCTTGTTAATTATCCCAGTGGTTTCACTTTTATTGGGCAATGCATTTGAAGGCAGAAGCAACTGAATTGGAAATTTCCATGTGAAGGAAATCCTGCTTGAGACAGATCCAGTCCTGTATGTGCAGGGTCATCAATTGCTTCCCCAAATTGGCAGGCACATCACTCAACCGTGGACTGTACACTTTCATTTTTCCTACATAGCCCAGCTGCTCCTATCAGATCGTGATCTTTCGCAGGGTATTTAATCAACCTGATCTGCAGAGAATAGGAAGAAGGACTCCTCTGGATTGTACACATGCTCTACCTGTGAATGTTGGTAGGAGACTGGGAAAACAATCAACACATCAGAGGAAGGTTTAATCGTTACTTATCTCATAAAAGGCGGCTCAGTCCTGGTTGCAGAAAAAGCCCAGGAAGAAGAGATTCAAAATGTTCCAACAGACTCTGCCTGAATTAACTCGCTAATAAATGAGGAATGGAAGCTCCAATCACAGTTTCCAAAATTCTGTACTTTACTCCTAATCTGAGTATTAAACACCTTATTGAAATCTGGACAATTTTGCTTCTTTGGTTGTGCTCTGTTATAAAGGACTTGACACCACCCTCCAAAAAATGTTAAATGCAGCCCTGAGCTACCACAATGTCATCAATCCCTGGGTTAAATGACTAATCAGTCATAAGGAAAAAAAATTCTAGAAAAAGGACCCACTATTGACTTTTTCCTATTTAAATGATAATAATTGCTTTTACATTTCTCTGCATAAGATCAGTGCCCATTTCAGACAAATCTAGGTCCTCTTGGTTTGGTGATATGGAAGTGATTTCTTTTCCAGTGAGCTCCAGTTCTTAGACTTGTCAGCTAATGTAATTCTTCTCCATTCCTTTTCTCACTCTAGGAGAAGAGCAGAAACCTGCTTCTTGGGCAAAACCCAGCAGCAGAAAGAAGTCCCGATTTCCCATTGCAATTTAACAAACAGGACTTTGTTAAACTGCGAAACGACTGCCTGGATCAGGGCCTGTTGTTTGAAGATGATACATTCCCAGCAAATAACCATTCCATTGGACTTGACTTTCTTCGAAAAGAGAACCTGAAAAAAGTACAATGGTTGAGACCACCTGTGAGTAGTGATAAAACCTGTTGTGCCCCTGGGGTATCTGTATATGTGTGCAGTATCTATGGGAATTGCCTGCTTGACATATCATCCACTCCTAGGTTCTTGATGTACAGGAAACAGATGATAAGCACCTTCACAACCCAAACTAAATCCAAACTACTTCTCCTTCTCCTTAGTTTGTACCTGCTTGCCTTCCTTCTTACATTCCTCTTATGAGAAGCAGCCATAATTTGACAGTTGCAAATTCTGCTGTCTTCCTCCTGTCAGTTGTTCATTGAATTAAGCCCAAAGTGCTTTATTTGATGTTGGTCTTCCAAGGGAAGAGCTTACTTCCCCACTTTTTAAGCCTATGAAACAGAGTTTGAAAGACAAATCAACTTTGAATCCCAAAGAGCATTTCTCTAAATCCAACAATCAGCAGCCTGATACCTTCCATATATTTTGGACTGATTTATCATTGTCTATGCTGCCTGGGACTGCTAGGAACTGCAGTCCTAACTTTCTGACTAATCTAACTCATCCTAACCTCTTTTCAGTAGCCAAACTAGTTTCACTTAAACCCATCTTCACCTCTGTAATAGAATTGCCCAGTTAAATATCCAAGTCTGAACTGCTCCTACCACCTTCTCTGAATAGCCTATAGGTCATCTCCAGATAGCTCAGGTGCTAATTGCCTTCAGTTCTTCACTCAGCCATCCATCCATCCATCCTTAAACACACTTGGCTTTAAAAAAGCTACCACTATAAAGTCAGCAGACCTGAAGGACCAGATTGGGGACAGATAATCCAGAAGAACATCTATCTATGTGGTCACTAAGGGTTGACACCAACTTTGATGGCATTTTTCATCATCATAAAGTCAGCCAATACATTTGAACAATGTATTGGTTGGAATAGCAGCATGTAACTGGAGTTTTTAAAAAATCCTTAATTTGGAATATCCAAAGGATTTGGAGTATGATAACTGGACTCCTTTTGTGCTAGTTGTCTCCAGGACATTCTTCAGTTTTGCCTAAATGTGGTCAAAATTTGGCAAAGGCACTTTCAAGCTTGATGCTGCTACCAACAGTTAAGCTACTGTAGTTTAAATACCTCTTGACATAGCACTTGAAACTTTCTAGAAGTTGAAAGGTGTGATAGCTATTTCCATATCATTAGTAGCCAAATTTTAAGAAAGAGTGCTAAGTGGTTCAAATGTATCTGTGTTCTGAGAGTTAGGCTGCCACTATGCACACATTTAATAGGGAGAAAGTCACACTGAATTTATGTCTGAGTAAGCATGGCATGGATGATTCTGTTATACTTTCTTATCAGTATGGAGTATCTCACCCTTCCCCCATTACAGCATTTCACTTTTCCTCTTTCTTAAAATTAATGAGTAACAAAGTTTACAAGAGTCATTTCCCTGGCTGTTTTGTAAAGGGAAGACAAATGGTGGAGCTCAGTTGCAGACCAGAAGCTATTTTGCATTTAAAAGGCTACTTATGTGATTCTATACAAATTAGTAAAATCTCAATGTTAATTTTAGATGAAAGCTCCAGTGAGCAATTACATCAATCCACATTCATCGAAACATCCATTTTGCCCAACAGTCATGTTGTTTCTCAGCTGATTTTCTTTGTTTCTCCAGCCCAAGATTAGCTTTTGAAAAGCGATGGTAAAGAAAGAAGAGCGTTTCAGTCTAAGATGTTCCTGCTTGTTTTACATTTTCTAAGTCATGCCATATCTGGTTATTTAAATGACAGATAACATTTTTTTTAACCACTGTCATCCTTCCAGATCCAATATAGCAGTTGAAGAGAGAAGCAGGTTTCAATTTTATCTCATGCATTGACAAGAGAATTGCCAATTACATTCAGAGCCTGGAATCTTTATAGCACAAAGCAGAAAGAACACAGCTTGATTTGCAGATGCCAGGCAGGGCTGACAGCTAGGAGCTGCTTGTTTTGACTTGTAAAGTGAGCCAATTTGACAACAGGAATCCCCAAAGGGAGCAGGATTGGAACACAGAACTGTCATTCTTGACACACCCTGAGTTCCCCACCCCTTATTCATAGGTGTAAATCATTGGAGCCATTGTGATTTATTATACTTAAAAAGATAATGTTAACCTCAAATTGAGCTCTCAGCCCTAATTAGTGCATTCCACACAGTTTTCTTGGAAGAGGTATGCCATGGCTTTCTTCCAGGATTTTTCAATGTTGCCATTGAGCCAACTGCCCTAGAATTTCTTGATGGCTTCCCATCCAAGTACTAACCAAAGCCAAATCTGCTTTGCATATGAGTTCAGCTATAGTTTGCAGGGGCTGCCACCTGCTGAAGTAACTTGGTTTAAAATTAAATTTCTTATGAAAAACATAATCATTTGTTCCAATTCTTTCAAAGGACAACACATTCTAGAATTCATTGGAATGTACTCAGAGTAGACATGTATTGTGAAGTTCTTGAAGTTCTCTGAGTTGCCTTCTCTTCCTGCAGACAAAAAGCATGGGGGAGTGGAGCTGTTTATATATGGTAGCTTGTCTTACCAGCCTTGATTGGAGTTTCTGCTTATCTGGGGATTGGTTAATAGGTGTGTGATGAGGAAGGAGTTGTTGGAGTCCTTTGCTTCTTTCCTTGAACTTTGGTTGTTTTCTTTCAATTAGAAACTGAAACCACCAAAAATACAAGAGAATTCCTAGAGGCATGGCACTGGCACTCTGATGAATCAGCCATTAACAGGCACATTGAGATAAGCATAATCTATAAACTATTCAAGGAAGCGATCTAAGGTGAAAGAAAAAGGCAAACAGATCTAAACACATCCTTGCTCATTATACCCCTATTAACCAACACCAGAGAAATACCCCACCTCAAAAGCAAACAAGGAAGAAACAGTACCCAGTCAAGGTTGGTAAGTCAAGCTACCACATATAAACAGCTAGCACACTACTCCCCCATGAACTGATGTTACCTAGCGTGGTAATGAAATGTATCCAGGAAGAAACACAAGCTCAGAGAATACCAGAACTGAACAACTCAGCCCTGAGCTACCTATATTCTCCACTATGGCAGACATGTATTGTGTCATTGATTTGCCCATAATCAAAACCACACAACCCTGTGTGTTATGCTTAAAATTAAAAATACTATCTTTTTAAAATCTAGAATACCTTTATGTAGAAATTTGATACTAATTTACACTTCCATCTGAAAGGCAAAAATCCAGTCATTTGTGATATTGCAGAAATTAACACTGACCAGATAGCTACATCATTGATGAGGTTAAATGAAGGTGCCCTTGAATCGAGCTGAATCCCTGATAACTCTGCAGTTTTCTTGGCAACAGTATGGAAGTGGTTTATCATGACTTCTTCCAGGATGATTTTACAACTTTCCAGTCTAGCCTATAGTTCTGATGTTCTCTGGTCATCTCCCATCCAAAAGTTTACCAGGCCCAACCTTGCTTAACTTCCACACAAGATCACTCAGCTACTTCCCCCTGCTGAGACATCTTTGTTATACATGCACAATTCATTTCACCTTTTAAACACCCTTTTAAAATCATCATGGCATGGCTAAGGGAATTCTGGTCCATGCAACAATCACTACCGGTTTAGCACCAGGCGTTGCCAACTTAGTGCCTTCCAGATGTGTTGGATTATAACCTCCAGAATCCCCAAGCAAAATGACCAAAGGCTAGAGAGGTTTAAACCGCTTCCTTTTTAGTATCAGTGGATGCTTAAGAACTCTTTCCTTTCATGTTAGTCTCTTCTGGGCCTCTGCCATTTGAAGAATTTGGAAACATAGGAGTGAAGAGACCGGGGCTGCTAATCTTTTTGCCAGCTCCTGCAGCTTGATTGGCAGATATTAGCAGTAAACTAGCTGGATTTTATGCCATTTTGGCTAGCTAACTCTTCATTTATTTTAAACCTGGAAATCAATTAAAATGCTAGATGGGGATTACTATAAATGTAATCCCCATCAAATGTGTGTTAAAATATAATGTTCTAGCTAAATTAAGCTAAACAATATTAATTATTTTTATTTCATCTATTTTTAAAAACATTTTAAGTGTCCCTGTCCCTTAAGGAGGATAACCCACCTATGGTGTACTGAACGTGCTATCAAAAGCTTTCATCACTTAGCCTCCCTGTCTGAACCTCAACTGTTTATCTATTTCATTTCTCTGTTCTGAACTTTCATGGACGTGCTCCACAATGTGGGGATCAGAAGTTTAGATGCCCCATTGAGAGGCCTATGTTAACTATTTCATTTGGGTTTATCCTCAGTGACCATTGTTATTTTTTAAAAAAGTCTTTGCTAATATTGGGGTTTCTTTAATTGTTTTAATGTGTTGTAAGCTGCCAAAGTCACATTCATGAGGTGAATGGTGAAAGAAAGAAAGAACAGTGAGCAATTACATC